TGTGTGTGTGTGTGTGTGTGTGTGTGTGTGTGTGTGTGTGTGTGTGTGTGTGTGTGTGTGTGTGTGTGTGTGTGTGTGTGTGTGTGTGTGTGTGTGTGTGTGTGTGTGTGTGTGTGTGTGTATGTGTGTATGGATGTATGTATGTGTGTATATGTATGTGTCAGTAGTCATCTATCGGCATTCTTGCTCTTACCATTAGTTAGTGTCACATAAGAATCGCTAAGCAGAATTCTCGATATTGTCGTCGGTGATAGTGAAGTGGTTCGATAATAGATGACTTTCCCTACGATCAATCATTAGCAGTATATTAGAGCCATTTGCATCATTATCACCATTATTTCATTACTATCGCTATGATCATGTCAACTGTTATGCCATTGGAGGGAGATTTTTGGTCATAGACGAATCCTTCCAAGCTTTGATGGAATCTGACTTGATGAATCATCAAAAGGTGTTGTCTTGTTGTAGAGTTCAAAAAAAATTATTGATGCTTTTTTTAAATGAATGAATCATCGCTTTTAAGCTACTAGACGACGAACAGTTTCAAAGATTTGTAAATTTATATTAGGTCGAAATGAAAAATGTTTATCGTCATTACTTCGTTCTCAGTTTTTTCTTTGGATTTTACTCATTTTATAGCCATCATTGTTCATATTTTGTGTGTTGCTTGTGCTGAAGGAAACTTATTTGTGCCTGTGATATTCAAATCAACGGTTTGACCAGTTCCTGTTATTATCACTGTTGTCATCAGATTCTGTAATTATATTCAAACAGAATAATCATGTATTCAAGTGACACAATTCGATCGTTACCTGGAGCCAGTGGAGGTGAGTTAATGATCAGATCAGTAAAGTTGGTGGCCAGTAGGCTCATGATACTTTACTGAAAGTAAGAAAATTAAAGGTCCAAGAGGGAATTTCTTAGTTTTTAAAATGTCCAAATTTAATACATTTTCATATTGAACTTCCATTTGTGTTAATTTTATTTCCAATTTTGAATATAATAAACTAAGCTTCTTTAGGATTTTTGCGATGTCGACAGCAATCCTTAGCATTTCTTATTTTGAACGTGAAATATCGCTTATTGATTAAAGGTTCCTGGATGTGCTTACTTCTGTAGTGAAAGCCAAACTTCATTACTTTCTATATTCTGCTTTGGTTTATCTTTAAAAAATTCAGGTCGAGTGTTAAAAATGGTCACCGAAATGGGCTCAGCATCTATTGGCGGTATTAGTCCAGCACTTAGTGCGAATGCCGCAAAATCATTTCTTGAAGCAACCGATAAAGAAAAAAAGAAATGCAAGGACTAAATGACCGACTTGGGAATTATATTGACCGGGTAAAAAAGCTCGAGGAACAAAATAGGAAACTGGTTGCTGATCTCGAAGAACTGCGTGGCCGATGGGGAAAAGACACCAGTGAAATCAAGGTAAATTGATGAAATATCCATACAGACAAGAGGTCCATCTCATTGTTATGCTTGGCCTTATAGCCGTTATCATCCATTATCGTAGGAAAACACAGTGCAGTAATAGCTTGAGATGAGTTTATCCGAATTTTTGCCTAAGAGTGAATTTCATCCGAAGAAATATCCTTTCATATTTCACGGATTTTTTCTTTAGTCAAGTTACATTCCATTTCTTTTACCTAAATCATTTCGGAAATAAAGAAATTAGTTTAGATGCCCTTCGTTACAAACGAGAAAGCCTGAACTGATTGGGATGTTTTGTTCGTTTAAACCAATCAAACTTTTTTGTTTTCATTAATTTACAATGTAAGAAGCGGGGATAACATGCCGTATATGATTGGGACTTCAGCCATGTCATCTCCGTCGCCTAGGTTCCACCCACCAGAACTGTACCATTTTAGTTGAGACAGTGTTTTACTTACTGTAATGTTCAAAAATTTAGTCGAACTATTTGGTATTGTCAAAATATTAGCACAAAAAAATAATTGCTGGGAACTTTAGGTTAATCGCTCGAATAATTGCTGGAATTGTTGGGAACTAATAACCACTTGCTTAGAATACACTTATTTCATTGTTTTAAGTGAAAACTAATGGTGAATTGTATATAGCTCAAGCATAAGATTCCAGTTTCTAAAACCGATTACTTCAGTGTGAACAGTGAAATAAACTCCTGCATATTTTCATGTTCTCGATGAAAATCTTTTTCAAAAATACGAAGTATCCTTTAGTTGGTGTGGGAAGATTGTATTTGTCGCAGAATTCATTCAAAAAGACAACACATATGTCGAGAGATTGAAAAAATATGAGACATCTACATATTTTGGGGAGATTTTGAAATACTTATGATGACAGCGTCATAATCCCTTGCATAAACTACAATGTCTTGTGAGATCTTATTCCGAAGGACTGAAATTGATTTAAAATTCAGTGGTTTGCAATTAATCTTTTTTTAATTTTTTGGGATTTTGTTATCAGCAGCTGGGCTTCATTACCATCCTGGAAGTGTCTTTGCTCAAAAATTATTAAAATTCTAGATTTGAATTAACTTTCGATAATATTGACTGTGGCAAAACAAATTTTTGTTCCTATGTAAGATGTATATAGTTAACGGGAGTTAGAACAACTGAGATAGATAGGGTCCAGATGAGGGAGTACGTAGAGGGTGTGATAGATCAGCGTAATGCAGCCGTCAAAATAGTATACTTAAGTTATGTTTAATCTGGGTTATAATTGATAATAACTAAACATAGCCAGCCATAACTGAACAATAGTCCAGGATAAAGGAGCCTTTTACGGTCATTCTGTGTTTATTTGAGTGCTTATCATGCTTAAAATCCAAGGCATCTTAGTGACCTGTTAGCAATCATTGTTAACCGCAATTACGTAGTTTTTTGATACATTTTATTTTATTAATGTTGAGACCAATACTTCAGAAAAAAACATCGCAAATCATTTAAAACTAGATTTTGCCAAAGCATTAGAATTTTCATTAGTCATAGTTAGCACGATGATTATACCATGTCGTCACTCTATCAGGAAAATTGGATATCGAGTTCGAAAGAAGGGAATTACGAATGCGAAAGAGATTCTTTATTTCTCTTTAACAGTTTATACTTCTACTTGAAAATGGTTCTCTAATACATTATAAATCATGAATTTGCTTCTAAAACTGAATATGTAGTACTGAAATTAGTGCTTGGGACGAGCAATCAAGCCGTTATCGAATAATCGCTCGCTTAGATATGATGGAGTCAGTAAAAAGTAAAAATTTCGTAAGCAGAGGCAACGATTTCTTTTCAGATACAGTATTCTGACTCGTTACGTGATGCTCGCAAAGAGATTGATGATGGTGCGAGACGGAAGGCTGAAATTGATGTCAAAGTAGCGCGGCTTAGAGATGACCTCGCGGAAATTCGTAGTCGGTTTGTCTACATTTTCTTTTCAACAACTATATATACTATAACTTGGTGTACATAAGAAATAAAAAAGATCACCGAAAACAATTTTCTCAAATTGTCATTAAAAAAATAGTTGAGAAAGAAGGAAGGGAAATGTCTTCTTTCCTTTTCTTCTTTTCTTTAACTGTATAAAAATAAAAAAAGTAGAACTATACTATCATAAAAGTATTAAAAAGATATCGTTGATAGCCTGAAAATGCTGTAATGATATGTCTCTTGCAAACACTGTTTAAGTTTATGAAAGAACACTGTGAGATATATAAAGTGCATACTTTTAGAGATTCGAAGTAATAAAGAGGATTTTGAGAAGAGGACATATTTTAGCTTAATTTTCCATTTTCATTTTAGCTATGAAGACGTACAGCATCGCCGTGAGAATGACCGCGAAAAGATTAATCAATGGAAGCATGCAATTGATGACGCCCAAAGTGAACTGGAAATGCTCCGAGCTCGTTGGCGTCAGCTGACAGATGAGGAGAAGCGGTTGAACGGAGATAATGCCCGCATCTGGGAAGAACTTCAGAAAGCGCGCAATGTGAGTGTCAAGTGTTTTTAGGGGTCTCACTGAATAATCTAGGACGAATTCATAATACACACAGTGATGAGTTTATTTCTAGTTAGGATAAAGTGCATATAAAAGGTGGAAATGAAAATTTTGTGAATTTTGTGAATCCAAAAAGTTTCCTTTACCTGACTTGGTATTTTTTTCTTCTGATTAGTTTTTGGACTTGTTTGTTAAAACTGCAGTTCTGTTATTTCAAGAGAGTTTACAGGATCTAGATGAAGAAACCTTAGGACGAATCGATTTCCAAAATCAAGTACAGACGCTAATGGAAGAATTAGAATTCTTGAGACGTGTACATGAGCAAGAAGTTAAAGAGCTTCAAGCTCTATTAGCTCAAGCTCCAGCTGATACTCGTGAGTTCTTCAAAAACGAGCTGGCTCTAGCTATTCGCGATATCAAGGATGAATACGATTACATTGCCAAACAGGGAAAACAAGATATGGAAAGCTGGTATAAACTGAAGGTACAAATTTCTTAGAAATCACTGAGTTATGTACTGAATTATAGTTTGTAAATGTAAAATATGGTTTGGATGAGGAGGTAAACTTTCTTATCAGGGATTTTGGCATCGAAAACATAAACATGCCATTTAGTCACCACCCATTCGAATTTTAATTGAACAGAACTTCGAAATTTGTCTGACTAAGAAATTCAGACAGAGGGATCTCCAAAATCCTTTTATTGGTCCTAAATTTACCATGTCTTTTAATGGTTGTGGTGATCTCAGGTGTCGGAGGTGCAAGGTACTGCAAATCGTGCAAACATTGAAGCAAATTATCAGCGAGAAGAGGTGAAACGAATGCGCGATAATATTGGCGATCTTCGTGGTAAACTCGGTGACCTTGAAGCCAAAAATGCGCTCCTTGAAAAAGAAGTGCAGAGCTTGAATAACCAGGTTTGGTTAAAAACCTCAAACACACTTGCAATGATAGATCTTCCTTAATTACAACTTAATCTCTGAAAAGTTTAATCATTATGACGTAGTTCGGAAATTGGGCATGATTGTTTCTGATATTTTTTGTTTCGATATTTTTAAAGTTTCATATTTTTGTTTATTTTGTTTCTGAATTTAGATTGTCTGAATTTGTAGCTCAATGACGACCAGAGACAATACGAAGCAGCTTTAAACGACCGCGATGCAACTCTTCGTCGTATGCGCGAAGAATGCCAAACATTGGTGGCTGAATTGCAAGCACTGCTTGATACCAAACAAATGCTAGATGCTGAAATCGCAATTTATCGAAAGATGCTCGAGGGCGAGGAAAGCCGGTAAGCTATTCACCAGTGTTTCGCTGTCTTTAAATTTATCAATCATTTAGATTAGAAAAGGTTGTTTTAAAAATCGAGAATTCTAAAATCTCTTTTCTCTGCAGATATTTAATGTCGAAGGCGTTTGAAGTCTATGCCTGGTCCAAGTTCGTAATTTTTAGCTACGAATATAAACTTCACCAAATACTAGATGGTGTAGATGTGCACTACCGCCAGATACCGCCATAGGCTAATTTTTTGTTATCCCAGTCATTTTCTTATTTGGAAACTAGAATTCAGAAACATTTAAAATGATAGGTTATACTGATAAACAGCTCTCTACAACTGTTTTGACCGTTACAGTCAGCGATTTTTAATAATTGTAAAAATTAGTAATGGTTAAGACAATCAGTAGCTTTCTAAGCTAATTCTATTTCCTTTAGAAACAAAATTTTAAATGACAAATTTCTAATGAATGCAATTATTCGCTGCTTTATCTGTGTTTAAATTTGCCATAACATTTCAGCGTTGGCCTTCGTCAAATGGTTGAACAAGTGGTGAAAACACATTCATTACAGCAGCAAGAAGATACAGATTCGACGCGTAGCGTACGCGGTGAAGTTTCTACTAAAACAACTTTCCAACGTTCAGCTAAAGGGAATGTTACCATTGCCGAATGTGATCCGAACGGAAAATTCATTATGCTCGAGAATAGTCATAGAAGCAAGGTAAATATTAATCACTTTAAGAAATCTAGAAATTCTATGAACTTCTGCTTCTGTTCCGCATTTATCACCAGCAGCTGCTGGTTCAAGAAATTTCTGAATTCTGGTTGTGTTACTGCCAGCTTATCGAAACAGATCTTCCAGATTTTCAAAGAACTACGTTTTTCTAATTATTTCAGGACGAAAATCTTGGTGAGCATAAACTCCGAAGGAAGCTTGACAATCGCCGAGAAATTGTTTATACTATTCCACCGAATACAGTTTTAAAGGCTGGACGTACAATGAAGGTATACATTTCATGAGCATTCAGAGAGTACGCTCAGATGCATTGAAAAGAGATTCCGTTTCACTTTTTTATCTATCCTATAAATTTCAAAAACTTGTCTTATTTTTATAAATGGATGTTTATCAACTTAGATGTTAGTTAATTAGGTCTTAATTCAGAATCTGGAAGAACTGGTTCGTTCTGACAAATCCAAAACGAATCAATCCTTGCAACTAATACTTTTCCGTCTTTCCAGATTTGGGCACGTGATCAAGGAGGCTTGCATAGTCCACCGGAATCGTTGGTATATGATGGCGAAAATACTTGGGGTATTGGTGCAAACGTTGTAACAACACTAATCAACAAAGATGGTGACGAACGCGCAACACATACGCAGAAAACAATACAGACGGGACAGTAAAATTTCCCCTTCTTCCCTCGAAGAACGTTCATCTTGCGAATTTTCCATAATATTTGGGGTATTTTCAGCATAGAAATTAACAGTTGGGCAGATTTGAGAAATATCCCGAAATTCGTTGCAGATTTTTGCATATATTGTATTTCGATAACTTTCGTAGACTCATTACAGTTTTAAAGTTTGCTGCTTTCTTGGCTGTGAAAAACTGCTTTTGGTGTTAAAACATTTTGATATATCTTAACGATCTTTTACTTCAAATCACTCTGTCCAAACGATCGGTGAAAATTCAGTATATTTAAGAAATAATTATAGTCAGTTTAAATAAAGCTGAGATACTATGACTTCTCAATTCGTCGCTGTGTTCCAAACTTACGCTGTTAAAACGTATCTTTAGTGGGAGTTTCACATCATATTTTTAGATCTATTAACGAAAGGTTCAACTATTCAAAAAATCTTATCACTACTCTTACGCTGCCAATAACTTCATTTTTTTTCCATACTGCTAATCAGCTTTGTATTTTTTGTGCGCTTGTTTGCTGTCTTTGACTATTAAACTGTGTTTCTTCTTTCGTTTTCATAATTCATTCTTTCTTTGACATCCAGTTTTCCCAAACTACGTATTTTTATAGAGGCAAAAAACAGTCCCTAATCTCTTATGGTGCGGTTTCCGAATTTATCTCCCGAAAGATCGCACAGTCATCTTATTTCACCATTTCACCGCGCTTAAGGAAGCTAAAGAATGAAGATAAAGTTAATCGAAATATCTCTCTTACATTATATCAGTCTCGACGCATTTGCGAGACGACAAATATTTACCGGTTTCTGATATACCGGTAGAATTGTATACACCATGTTGGCACTGATAATGATAGATTGTTCTCATTTTAATCATCAGCTTTTTTATTCTTCCCGAAATTCACTCCGTTCTGCTCTCGTGAATTTCTTCTCCACCAACTAAATAAATCTGCAATTTTCCTTTTAAAAGCATTCCCGTTTATACAGAAGGACAAATGTTTATATTTTTCGATTTTAATAAGTGATGAAGTCCTAAAGTTTTTCAGAGTAAGCGCAACTGAAATCAGTCCTCTGTCTTCTGAAGGCAAAAGTAAGTTTTCCGATATAAAGATAACTTCATTTTTGTCGAGTCTTCAGTTTGACTGACTTTATTGATCGGGAACATCGTATCGATTTATTCTCTTTGTTTTCTACCACTGTCCTGTAAATGATAATACACATTTGGCGACACAGGAAGTGTCTCTGAGAGAATTTCTGTTTGTGTTGCTGAAGTATTCTATCATATGTTCAACAAAAGCGCACATCTGTACCGCATTATTAGTTAAAGCAATTCATTGTTATAGCAATGCAAATATAACGCATCTTTATGTTCGCTGAAATAATTTCATGGACCATTCACATAACATTACTCCCATTTATGGAGAAAACCGTGAAGTCATTATGATTGACACTATTTGAACTTATAATTAAGTTAAAACTAATAGGCAGGTGGTTTTCACTTGTTCGTGTCCAGTGGGGTTGTTGCTGATTTAGTTCACTTTGCTAAGGTTTTATTTTTAGTTACAACAGTATTAGTTATCCTTCTCCTACAGTGCTATGTTCATCATTATTTTATTCAAAAACATAGCTAAATGGCTTCCAACTTCAAGATCCGTTATGTGTGATAATTTACAAAGGTCTGTAAAATATTCAAAATGAAATAGAAATGAAGTGAAGCTTTCAGATAATATCACCAAAGCTTCTTCGGAAACACAGTGTTAGAATGATTAATTATCTGCATATCAGATTAGTCAAAAACGCAATTTAATGTGATTCGTTCAGAAAGACGGGCAATTAAATTCTGTGGTAGGAGAGCCTTGACTTTGCTTTGAGTTGACTTGGTGTCGCATGTGGTCACTCAGTTCTGTCTGAAATTTGGTAATTATTTTTATGTTTTTTTTTTTGTAAATTTGGTAAATATTTTTTTATACCATAAGATTACTGGAAATGGAATAATTTGAACAAAGAAAATTGGATTGAAATTTGCTAAAATTGAATTGAACGTAGTTGGACATGAATGGAATCGAATCATGCGTAAGTGGTTGAATGACTGGTATGAAATATGTTACTGGAGTTTAATTATCCATATTGGGACACAGTTGTAACCTCGTCAACAAGAAGTTTGACGTCGGTAGATGAATTTTAACCTCGTTATATTCATGAGAAGATTGTTACCTAATGCAGGCAATGTCATTAAATTACTCTAGGAACCAAAAATTTTATGATTCATTTGCGAGGATGATTGGGAAAAAGCGTAGAACTAATTACAGAAATCTTCATATAATATTGCTTGTAATAAAAACGGATAATATCTTTATCTTCTTGAAGTCAAATAAGTGCCGCGGTCATTTATATCATTTACTTAAACTAAAGTTGCATCGTATACCGTCCATTTGACCGTCCAACGATTGCTGCACTACATCCTGCTGCGAGCGGATGTTTTCGATTTTCTTGGGGGCATACCTGCATCTTCTGGAATAAAGCTTATGCTAATTTGTTTGGATTGCAGATATATATTAATTTTAATAATGGGTCTATTGGCATTCAAATGAATGTGTTTGGGTTGGTTGCCAGCATTTGTGTCATTTACTTTAACTAAAGTGCACTATACAGATGTCCATCTGCGCTCGTATAACAATTCATTTCCTTTATGAAGCTTATCGATTCTTTCTGGTATCATATAATCTATAATCTCTTCATCACGATTTCCTTCATAAAAAAAAAAATTCAGTTGAATGACGTATGGGTGAACGCGCACCTGTTGATCCACGTTGCTGCCTAATACCATAAAACTCCGTTTAAAATTTGTGCTGAAAGAAATTGCAAAAAAATTAGCAATGTAGTTTGAATAACATAGTTACAGGTGGAGTATTTGAAGTCAACTTTAGTTTTTGCCTTTAATTTGAATAACTGAATGACATATACTATCTATTGCAATCATCATTTACTATTCTACTTATTCAGCATAAGACCTTAACTTTACTGATGATAATAGTGGCAAAGTGAAAAGAGATTGTTTCAAATGGAAGCATTTATTATTCGAAATGACTGATTAATTTTGAATTCGATAATGCGTCAATTTATCAAACCTTCCCCGAAACTTTGTAAAATTGATGGACAAAGTATTAGTCATAACATCGCCAGGAAGAATGAATTGTTAACATGATCAGTATTTAGTTGTAATTCGCTTAACAAAATCTTCCTTCCTTTCTTCTTTTAACTCTCATTATGATGTTTTTCTTCATAATACTGCCTTTACTTCACTCTTTTTTCATTAAAAATTTAATCTGTTCATCTGAACGAACTTGAAAATATATTTCACATTTGCCCGTTTCGATCAAATTCCTTCGATCTCCTAACCTTGAAGTTCTATCTATCGGACTTGTGTCATTCGATTACTTTGGTTCATCTCATGAACAAAATTATCGCATTTTTTCTACAAATCATTCGATCAAAAGGTGAAATGTGGGAAAATCAGAGAAGATCTCTTCTAAAACCTTCCGATTCAGATCGAAACTGATAGTCTCAATATCTGTTTATTTTTTTTGCATTTAAAAGACTACATAGTTGAAGATTTTTACTTCCGCATTAATTATTTAGTTCTTCTGAATGATAAAACAGTTGAAAATATCTCTTTAAAATAAAATTTGCTTTTTGCTGTATTATTTTGCGGTATTCTCTTTAGGTTGAATGATAAGATTAATCATTTAACATCTCATAACAGTTAATCATTGGCCGAAGTCTTTTTTTTTTTTGAGATTATAAGAAAAATGGAAATCTCCAAGATTTCTGTATGAATAATGTCGATTCCAGCCATTTCATTAAATTTGTGCCAGTCATTTCAAATTCGCAATTTTTTTTTTTTGGCAAATAAATTCCATCTTGAAGGAGAAAATGGGATAAGTAAGATGAGACTTCATTCGTTGGTCTTACTCAACTTATCCTTGAATGCCAATGAAACGACCGGGGTTTGTTTCATTACTAAATCATTAAGAATTGTCATTAGAGGATGTTGACAACAATCAGGAAGACGGTACAGAGTGGTGAAGAAGAGAGTTTTGAACGGGTGGAGGAAAATTGTACCCAAGCCTTCCAGCATTAATTTAGCTAATTTGTTTTGATGCTTCGAATGTCTTCATTGGTTGTTCACAGTAGTAAATGAGCACATCACCGCCAATTGCTGGATGTAGATTTATTGACGAGCTGCTGCTGTCTATCTTCTCAATAAAACTCAATCAGTATCACTCTACCACTTTATTACCATAAAAAGTATGCAGGAACTTTCGAAAACTAGTTTCGCTTCAAATATTTTACTCAGAAATCAGTTAAAATATTTTGAAATAAACTTATCGATTGCATGTCCTAGTGTTTGTTATTCAATCAAATTTTCTGAAACAATTGTTTGTTTCCGTTGTGAACCTTAAAGAAATCCCAGAAAGCTCAACATAAATGAAGGTTCGCTTATAAATTCAGAATATTTTTGTCAAGAACATTTTGAATTTTAAATTGCATATTTCTTAAAAAAAAACTTATCATCTAAACTTAAAGCTTTAAGCCGTTACTTTTCGGAAATGCATTCGAGAAATCTTTCTTATATCCCATCTTTGCATAATTATGTTCCTCAAATATTGAAGTCCCATAATGCCCACATTATTGTTTGATAGCAAATTAAATTAATGGAAACGTTACCCTTCCTCTCTCCCTTTCTATATCCGCAAGAGTCATTTCTATTATTCGATATCAGCATTTCATATTACAATACAACCTATCCAGCTTTCAGAGCTATCGAGAAACCATATAATTAAAAGCCGGAGACAATCAAATTAACATTTTTAGTTTCAAGCTGCCATTGCTAATAGAGTAGTAAAGGATGAAATACAATAGGTATTCAGATAGTGTCATTAAATTCAAGCTTACTTAGGTTAATTTTGTTTCGCAAGAAGAAAAAGATGAAAAGAGAATGTGTCTCTAAGCAATATATTTGATGTCAGATGACATTATTACTTTAGAGATTATTTTATGATTGATCACATAATTTAAATCAAAGTTCTACGTAACCTATTTCGATAACCAATGATATTTAATGGTAGATAACAATTATTTTTGCATGATTGATTACTAAATGGTAACTAAAATTGAAAATTTTAATTACAAGATAAATTGATGTATATGGAGTTCGAATTTGGAAAGGATTTAACATTTGTATTGTAACTAAAGGTATAAATTAAAATTTGTTTGACCTGAGTTTTTCAACTTTTTTTTCAGAAGAAAGAAAGAAATAGAAGCTATTCAACCACTGAAAGCAACGAGTCTCCTTGCATTAGTGTGGTGGAGTTGAAAATGATCTGGACGGTGTTTATGTATGATTTCAGTCATCAATTCATTTTCCGTTTCTCTTTAGTCTTTTGTATCTGTGGTACAATGTGAGGTCAAAATGGATTTTATAGAAGTAAAAGGCAAAATTAGACTATAATTTCTAACTGGTTATATGAAGCATTCATCAAAAGCGCTCGTCCTCCTTACTTTATATGCCTTTCGTTGGACAAATACCGAAGCGGAGAAGTCTTTTTAGTTTGCTCTTTCTGATTACGCAATCAATAAGAAATACTGGAAAAGATAGGAGAAAAAGATCATCCCTTGCAAGGTTATGCTAATTTTTCGCCACCTTCTGGTCCAGATCACAAGATATTCGCATCCTTCGGGCAAAATCTGTAAATGGTTGCCTTATTTTTCCTCATATTTGCCACCACATTCATAGCAAAAAGATAAATATTACGTGTTCATCGCTGTTGTCATTCATCTGTATACTATGTTTATCTTCGGGATCCAAATATTTTTGTTTGTATTCCCAAAGTGTCATTTTGTATCCCTTAATATCAACAAATAGTTAGGATCACACAAATTGATCCCTGCAGTAGTTATTAGTATTCACTGTGAGTTTTTGAACTAAAAACTTCATGGCTTCATCATTTGCTATTTTTCATAAAGCAATCTTTTTGATGAACCTTATGACAACAATATATTGCTACTGTATCCTGTCAAATAAGGTTTTCGACTAAGGCGAATTAGCGTCATTTTGTATAGAACCTCACCGATTGACCTTCAAAACCAATCCAGCTTGTCTTTTCTGTTATACCTGTTTGTCCATTTTATTCATTCATAATAAGTTTAGT